GGGGACTCGACCCTCAGTCTATATTGGGTCATATGTACACTTACCATTAGAACTGTTTTTCAAAACACTAGAGTTTGAAATAGTTTTTAGATAAGGTAACTTTTATAAAAAGTTAACCTGTAACGTTTAATTTTAGTGTTAATATTTAACTTTTGATATTTTATGAAAAGCTGCTCAAATCCTAAATGCTACTAAAAAGATTAACAGCTAATTTTGCCAAACATGTACTAACCACTAGACTATACATTAGTGTGCAGGATTTTCTTGAAGGGGATAATTTCTTAAAATGTACTTGCATTAGAGTGCACAAATTCAATAATTCAATTGTAATAAAAAATTAATATTAATTTAATAATTTAGTCTACCTGATTAGGGCAGTTGTGATGAGGACAATAATTTTGATGAATCACAATTGGATTTTGAACATTATTCATCAGAATATGCTGAAAAAGAATATTTCCAGCAAAACTATTGCTTCGTCTTCCCCAAGTCTTTATTCTCACTCCATTAGCAGTACCACTTAATGTACAGCTTGTGATTGTTACATTTTGCACCCCATTTTCTTGAAGGTCATTGCCTAAACTTCCGATGCTGCATTAACCAAACTGGAGTTAACTAAAAAAAAATTCAAGAGTTAAAACTCAATTTTAAGCCTCCAAAACCAAAAATTAGCAAACCCGCAGCCCCGGTAGCTCAGGCCGCCCACACGGCGGTAGCTGCCGCCCTTCAGTCCGATTTTCGCTTATAAAAACAGCCCCGGGTCTTCATTTCAAGGCATTCAGTCTGTGTTGACGGACGCTCCTTCTCCCCTACGCTCCTTGTGATTCTTTCTTGCTTTTCTGCATTTTAATTTAGCTTTATTGCTTTCTTGCTTTGTTAATTGGTCACTAAAGTTGAATTAATAATATTCCCTTAACAAGGAGCTTAACCTGGGGCTAAGAAGTGGCCGACGACTGACTCAGGTACATAAACTAAACCCTGCTCATTTAAATTTAGCACTTCATGCATGCTTCTCTTCTAGTCCTAATCTTTGCTACTCTTATAATTAATACAACTGCATAAATAAATGCATTCACGTCATCATTTAGACAAATAAACTGTCTTAATTAAACACGATTAAGCTTAAATGTCCGGTTAATTAATAATTGTGGTATTAAAGCTTAAATCCGACAATATTGGCTAAAATGCCTAGTTAACCAATAACTACGGTGTAATCGCCTTTATTTCGAACACTTCGCCTAAAGGTCCGATTAATCGATAATTGTGGCTAACGGCCTAGTTCAATCACATTTTTTGGCAACAAATTGCCTATGTTTAATCAATTAATTTCGGCAACTAATTGCCTACGATCTAAATCATTTTTCTCAACAAACAAATTGCCTTAAAATGAACCATTTTAGCGACAAATCGCTTAAATTAAGCAACACCTTTTGGCCAAAGGCCTTAAAATCAACCATTTTAGCGACAAATCGCTTAAATTAATCAATTGGCCAAAGGCCTTAAAATCAATCAATTTTGGCGACAATCGCCCAATCAACACTTTTGGCAAACAGGTTGCCTAAATCGACGCATTTCGGCCAAAGGCCGTAAAATCAACCATTTTTGGCGACAATCGCCTAAATTACACATCTTAGCAAACGAATTGCCTAAATCGACACATCTTAGCAATCAATTCTGGCGACAATCGCCCAATCAACACTTTTGGCAAACAGATTCCTAAATCAACACATTTTGGCTAAAAGCCTTAAAATCAATCATTTCGGCAATAATAAGCCCGAACATCAATTTTGGCAATAATAAGCCCAAATATCACATTTTAGCAAACTGAATTGGCTTTAAAAATCAAAACACTTTTTGGCAAAGGCCTTATAAATAAATCAATTCCTTCTGAGCGACAATCGCCCAATCTAAACACTTTTGGCAAACAGGTTGGCCCTAAATCGACAAACTATTTCGGCCTAAAGTCCCTAAAATCAACCAATTTGGCGACAATCGCGCTAAATTACCATCATTTTTTAGCAATAACGAATTGCCTAAATCAACACAACGCTAAATCTGACAATATTGGCTAAAAAAGCCTAGTTAATCAATAACTATGGTGAAATTGCCTTTATTTCGAACAAATTCGGTTTAAGTCCAATTAGTCAATAATTGTGGCTAAACAGCCTTAATTAATCACGTTTTCTTGGCAATAAATTGCCTACATTGCAAATCAATTAATCACTTTAGGCAAATAAATTGCCTATAAGTAGATTAACCATTTTTTGGCGACAATCGCCCAAATCAACATTTTTTGGCAACATTTGCCTAAATCAAATCATTTTGGCTAAAAGCCTTAAAATCAACAATTTTTGGCAACATTTGCCTAAATCAAATCATACATTTTTAGCAAGAACATCAATTTTCGGCAATAATAAGCCCAAACATCAATTTTCGGCAATAATAAGCCCGAACATCAATTTTCAGCAATAATAAGCCCGAACACCAATTTTGGCAATAAAAAGCCCAATCATCATTTTGGCGACAAATCGTCCAACAAAACGTCTTTTGGTAATAATAAGCCCAAACATCGATTTTTGGCAATAATAAGCCCAAATATCAACTTTGGCGACAAATCGCCCAACAACCATTTTGGCACAAATGCCTTAAAACCAACATTTTTGGCGACGAATGCCTAATCGAATCAATCAATCCTTTGGCAAAATGCCTAAACAAACATGCACGAAGCATACACACACTCATGCATTCAAAGCCCTTCAAAGAAGGCCTATCGAACTACGTTGACTTTGATCTTCCATTCAAACGGAAGTACGTAGGCACGTTAGGAATTTAACCCCGAGTCATTCGGGATTTTAACCCCGTGGCAAGTCGAAATCACTAAACATTTCATTTGGTCCAATTAATCATTTACCTTGCAAAGCATTCATTCTTTTGGTTTAGTTTTATCCAGCATGACAGTGGTCTCTCGGGATCCACTCGGGTTCGTTAGACTGTGCCTTAAACAATTGGGATAATTTAATCTAAGTAACTAGGTTAATTAAAATCGGAGGTCACCTTAGGGCTTTTTCCTAGTTTACCCTAAAAATAATTTAAACAAGGTGGCGACTCATCACACTCACGTGCATGTCTGCCCTTTAGTCATATTCAATTAATAGTTGCACTAGTATCCGGGGGAGGGGTTCACTACAAGGTACACTTTCCCTAGGTTTGTCATACATACGGAAACCATAAGAAAAGGTTTCCTTAAATGAAGCCAACCTTCAAACATGCTTTTTTTCTAATTAAACAAGGTGGCGACTCACACACTCACGTGCATTTCTGCCCTTTAGTCATATTCATTATATGCACTAGTATCCGGGGGGAGGGGTTCACACAAGGTAGCTACTTTCCCTAGGTTTGGTCATACATAGGAAAACCATAAGAAAAGGTTTCCTTAAATAAGCCAACCTTCAAACATGCTTTTTTCGTACCAAAATTATGGATTAGAACTTCCTCACAATGTTCTATAAATAGACTTTGCAAAGTGCAGCTATTAATTAGAACTGCTTCACAATGTCTTATTCAATATAGAACTTCTTTATGACGGACAGCTATTGTATTTAGAACTTCCTCATAAAGTTTAGAAATTCATATAAGACTGTGTGAGAGACAGTTTTTGAAATTAGAACTGCTTCATAATGTCTTATTCAGTATCAGAACTGCTTTATGATGGAAAGCTATTGTAATTAGAACTTCCTCATAAAGTTTAGAAAATTAATTAGAAACCCAAGTAGTTAGGTCATATGACATTTAGTAAAGTTAGAAATTCATGCAAGAGAATTTCCAACATTTAAGACATATAACTAACATTCAATTAGAGGAATTTTTATTAATTAAAATGAAGAAAAATCAAGCCTTACCACTTTAGGGTGGTTCAGACACTACAAGAAAGGAGAGGGGAAGGGTTTCTTTCATCAATCCAACCATATAATCAAAACAATACCCAAGAACATGTTTAATCACTTAACATACCATAATTTATCCAATTTAGAGAAAATCCCAAAATCCAACATAATACTTAGAAAATCAAAAATAATAAAATTGAAAGAGGTTGAGAAATCAAAAGCACTAACCTTAATATTAAGCTTAAAAAGCTTAAAAACCACCAATTCAAACTATGGATTTTCTCTTATCCACTTTTGATGGATCACCTTTCTCTACATAAGAAAAAAGCCACATTCAAGACAAAGAAATAACAAAGAAGAGAAGATATAAAAATGTAAAAACCCAACTTAAAACTCAAAAACAAACTCAATCATAAACTTCTAGTTACATGAATTATATAGAAAACCTCAAATTCTTGAACTTCTACAAGCTAAAATTTCCAAGAACAAGTATTAAACTTTAAGAATCAAAGGGTGGATTTTCATTTGTCTGAGCTAAATCAAAGGTTTTTCTTGTAGAAAATTAAAAAGAAAAAGAGAGAATGAAGAGGTAATGTATTCGGCCAAAAGAGAGCAAAAGAGAGGAAATGGGAGATAAGAAAAAAAGGAAAGAAAGAAAGTGCTATAGAAAAATTTAGTGGCATTTTTGTAAATATTAACAACTTTCTCATGAAGTTGTTGATGGATGGCTAGGATTTAACCTCCTCATTTCAATCCAATGGCTATATATCACTCCTACAATAACTTCTTAAAATCTAATTTTCCTCCATAAATCTTATTAAACTTATTCAATAATATTAATTCTCCAATTTTCTAATTTCTCAAAAATACTCCAAAACACTATTCATTAATTACTTAAGTTCTACCAGTAAAATCATAACTTATGTCTACCCATCAAAATAATGCATGAATGGACCAAAATAAATACTAAAATATTAATTATGAAAAGTAATATTTTCAGACCGTAAAAATACTGTTTTCCTATTAGGTGGTACTATCCACAGGCTGGTAAGTCACTTTTCATAACTCAGAAAAATCAAGATGTTATAACTCTCCTCCCCTTAAGAAATTTCATCCTTAAAATTTATCTGAGGTAAATAACTGAGGATGTTGTTGCCTCATAATGTCCTCACTCTCCCAAGTGGCTTTCTCAATCTTATGGTTCCTCCATGAGACTTTCACTAGAGACATTCTCTTATACCTAAAATCCTTGACCTCTTTAGCTATAATCCTTATGGGTTTTCCCTCATATGTCAAATCAGGCTCAATGCTAATTGATTCTGCAGATATCACATGTGAAGGGTCGGACCAATACCTCCTCAGCATAGACACGTGTAAGATGTTATGAATCATATCCAAGTCCAGTGGTAAAGCTAGTTTAAGGGCTAATGGACCCACATGCTCTATAATCTCATATAAACCAATAAACCTAAGACTAAGCTTACCATTCCTACCAAATCTTAATGCTTTCTTCCACGGAGATACCTTAAGAAACACCTTATCACCCACTGCATACTCAATGTCTCTCCTCTTCAGGTTTGCATAATATTTCTGACGATCAAAAGCATCTTTCAATCTATCTTTAATAACCTCGACCCTTTCTTTTGTTTTTTGAATCTTTTCTAGACCAATAATATTATCCTTGTCAAGCTCAGTCCAACATAGAGGAGTCCTACAGTTCCTCCCATATAAAGCCTCAAAAGGAGCCATCTTAATACTCTGCTGATAACTGTTATTATATAAAAACTCCACAAGTCGAATATCCCTCTCCCAACTGCCCTCGAACTCAATAACAATACCTGAGTAACCTGGTCTGGTTGACCGTCCGTTTTAGGATGAAAAGTTGTGTTGAAATTCAATTCAATACCTAAGGCCTTATAAAGCTTTGTCCAAAATCTAAAAGTGAATCTCGAAATTCGAATCTCTATCTGAAGTAATGAACTAGGGCTTTAGATAACCCGCTCTAACTTTGATGGAAGAAGGCACCCCATACAATATTGCTATCTCATTTACGTATAACTCTATATACTGCTCCATAGTGAAATCGATCCTCACAGGAAGAAAGTTTGTCGACTTAGTTGATCTACCAACTATCACCCAAACGACATCTTTCATCTTAGAAGTCAAGGGCGACCCAATAATAAAGTCCATAGTAATTCTACCCCACTTCCACTCTAGTATAGAAATGAGATAAAATAAGCTAATAAGGGACCTGATGTTTCGCTTTGAATGGCTGACAAGTCAAGCATCTAGATACATAATTTGTGATATCCCCCTTTATAGTTGGCCACCAATAGTGCAACCTTAAATCCTGATACATCTTATTATTGACAGGATGCATACAATAAGGACTACTATGAGATTCCTCTAAGATCTTCTTTGTCAAATTCAAAATCTTATGCACACAAATCTGATCCTCGAAGTATAAGCAATCATCCTCTCTTATCACAAGCCTCTTCTTCTCACCCTCTCGAACCAAAACTTTCCACAAGGTGATCTTCTCGTCATCTTTATGTGCTTCCTGAATCTACTAAAGTAAACTAGGTCTAACCATCAACTTTGCCACAAGTGCCCTATTACTAGCCACTGATAACTGAATATTCATAGCCCGCAAGGCAATCAAGGACTTCCTACTAAGTGCATCTATCATAACATTAGCCTTATCCGAATGGTATTAATTACGTAATCATAGTCCTTAAGAAGCTCTACCCATCTTTGTTGTCTCAAGTTTAACTTTTTCTGTGGAAGCAGATACTTAAGGCTCTTAGATCCGTGTAAAGATGACATTTCTCACCATAGAAGTAATGCCTCCAAATCTTCAAAGTGAAAATTATAACTGCCAATTCCAAGTTATGGGTAGGGTAGTTCTTCTCTTGAGGCTTAAGTCATCTAGAAGCATAAGCAACTGCCTTTCCCTCATGTATAATAACATAGCCCAAACCATTATGGAAAGTATCACTGTAAACATCATAAGCTCTACCCGATACTAGTTCAGTCAACATTATTGCCTCTATAAGCATTGCCTTAAGTCTTTCAAAACTAGCATGACATCTGTCGTTCCACTCAAATCTGGCATCCTTCCGAAGTAATCTAGTCAAAGGGGCGGCAATGAGAGAAACCCCCTTGATAAACCTCCTATAGTAACTAGTCAAACCTAAGAAGCTCCTGATATCTGTGACATTCTTAAGTGGCTTCCAATCAATCACTGCCTCAATCTTCTTCGGATGAACTATATAATACCCTCAATTGAAATGATATGCCTTAGAAAAGCAATCTCAGATAACCAAAACTTGCATTTGCTAAACTTTGCATAAAATTGCCTCTCTCTCTCAAAGTTTGCAACACAATCCTCAGATGTTGATCATGATCCTCTTTAGTCCAAGAATACATCAAGATGTCATCGATGAATGCTACCATAAATTGATCCCAGTAAGGATGGAAGATTCAGTTTATCAAATCCATAAAGAACACCAAAGCGTTAGTCAAACCAAATAGCATCACCAAGAACTCGTAATGACTATAACGAGTCTTGAAAGCAATCTTAGGCACATCTAGATCTTTAACTCTCAGCTGATGATATCCAGATCTCATATCTATCTTAAAGAATACACTAGCTCCTTATAACTAATCAAATAAGTCATTTATCTAATGCAATGGATATTTAATCTTGGCAATGACTCTGGTAAGCTCCCTGTAGTCGATGCACAAGCTTAGATATCCATCATTCTTCTGCATAAATAACACTAGAGCATCCCCAAAGAGAAACAATAGGGCGAATGAAACTCTTATCAAACAACTCTTGAATCTAAAACTTCAACTCTCTCAACTTTATAGGCTTCATCTGATATGGAGCAATGGATATCGATGTAGTACAAGGCGTTATCTCAATACCAAACTCAACCTCTCTCTCAGGAGGTAAACCAAGTAACTCCTCAGGAAATAAATCTGAAAAGTCACATACTATAGGTATCTCATGCACACTAGGAGTCCGCCTCTCGAACTCAAGTACACAAGCCAAATAAGCCTCACATTCATACTGGATCAACCTCTTAACCGTAGTAGAAGATATAATATTAGAGAGGTAATCCAACCTCTCATCCACAACTACAATTACCTAATTGTACAAGGTTTAGAGTGAAATTCTCTTAAGTCTACGAGCTACCATAACCTCATGTCTAGACAACCAGTCCATACCAAGAATCGTACCAAAATCCCGGATGTGAGACCCCCGACCCGACCGACAAGTCTGATACACTAAAAATGGTATCAAAATGATCATTTAGGTAAGGTATATGGATGGGTTTTGTAGAGTCGCCACTTAAATTTAATTATAAGGTAAAGTTAAGAAAAACCTTTAATTGACTCCAATTAGAAAAGGAACACTAATTGATGAAACCAACAAGGATTCAAGGACTAGGTTTTCAATTTAAATGATCAATTAATTAGCCAAATGTAATGTTCAATCAAGGATGAAAAGGATTTTAGATGAGAAGAATGACATTTGTATAAAAGCAATAAAGTAAAGCAAAAAAAAGCATAAAATAAAGCAATACTATAAATAAAGCAATAAAATAAATCAAAAAGGCTAAAAGTGAATTGTAAAATTAGGGAATATTGCCTCTAGCCGATTGATGGGAATTCTAGGGCAATCAAACATCTCCCAGTGTAAATTAAATTAAAGAAAAAGAAGAAAGTGAGGGAAAAAAGATTTTTGGTGGATTTGGTCCACAGCTTAGTTTTAGAGACTCGAGCTTATATGCTTATCCCTATGAATGAGAATCAGGACCAAGCAGTTCTACCCATTGTAAAATGGGGGTTGTTGATTTTAATTAGGAAAATAGGTTTATTAAAAACCTTTTTACCATGTTTTCAACGCGTTGGATTGCGTTTTGTGAAAAACATCTTGGTATTGGATTGTCGGATTTAAAAATGTACTTTTCTTATATTAAACATGGTTTTGGCTTTGGATCACCATTTTGGGGATAAGAGAGGTCTTTGAAGCCATTTAGAAGAAGAGAGAAAATATTAAGAGATAAAGAACCATAGAGACTTGCCTGGGTCTTTTGATTAGACCGATATGGCTGATCGAATGGTTGATCCGAGAGTGAGCTGGATGGCTGGCTGGATGGCTAATTAGAGGGTGAGCTAGAAGGCTGGCTGACTTGGCTAACCAGAGGGCTGACTGGCTTAGAGCTTCAACTTTGACTTAAATTTCTAAGGCTGAAACCTAAGCCAAGTGAGATCTAGGATACCAAGGAGGACTTAAACCCATGTAGGGATTTCAATAAGGGCCTGGTGAACCAAGGAGGCCTCAGACAAAGTTATGGAGACCTAGAAATAAGGCTAAAAAAGAGATTAGGGGGAAGTCAGCCGAAGGAATATATCCTACCCATTTAAAATACTCAAGAAGAGTGGAGGAGATAAGAAGAGAAATAAAAAGCTAAAGGAACGTTTCAACTAAGGCCTCTAGAATGTATTTTACGAGCAAGAGCGAGATTATATGTTTTTGGTTGAAAATTGGACCTGTATTTATAGGGAAATAGACTAGGGGGATTTATGCACACTTCCCGAAGTAGGATTGAAATTTTTACAAAAAAATGCAAGGCGGTCAATTGGGATTGACCATCGATCGCCAATGGCCAATCACCCAAACTAGGGCGATTAACCACTCTAGGTCTGGCGGTTAGACCGGTTTATGCTGCTTTGATATGGTTCGACTAATTTTGACTTATTTGGCTAGTTCAAGGCCATTTGACCTCCGATTTAGGCCCATAAGGTAACTTTGGAAAGCTCTTGGTTTCTATTTCCCATTGCTACTGAGTTTATAGGAAAACAAGGCCGATGGAAAATTTTATTTTTAAAAGAGTGGGTAAAGGTCATCTTGACTTGTAGGTTATCTTTCATTTTTTTGACTGATTTACTACTAGTTTGAACCATAGCTTTTGTAAATGCTTTGTCAAGATATAAGGGTTTAAAATTACTTGGTAGGTGCCCCCCCATCACAACTGTCAAAAAGGATTTAGTAGGAGTGATGCTGATGAACTCAGTGTTTTTTCTTGCCTAAGAAAGGCAGACATGATGAGCTGATCCTTTCAGTTATTGACTATTTGATCTAGCTGATTCATTTCAGCTAATGCTTCACAATTGATCCATTCCAGTTGGAGATATTAGTTGCTCCATAGCTAATCCATTTCAGCTGGAGTAGACTTTATTGGTGGTGCCATTTCTTTGACTACCTTATTCTTTATGAAAAATGATTGATTACGCCTCCATGGATGATCCAAAGGTAAAAGTTGTTGGTGATTATCAAACTAGGATTGTTTACCTCCTTTCTGAAGATTGAAGGCATTTGTATTCTCCATCTGATAAGGATAAGCTAGCGTTCTTGTTCTACTCCATCCAGATAGCATACCATGAGCTGGAAAACCACTTACATTCCAAAGTAAAGCTACTTACGCAATAAAATTTTGCTTTCTTGGAACATCATATGTTTTAATGCCTACATCTTATAGGTATTTTAATTCTGCAATCAGAGGTTGTAAAAACACCTCTATATTAAACTTAGGATTGTTCGATCCAGGAACTCTAACTGTAAGAAACATGTACTCAGCTTTCATAAACATCCTAAAAAGAAGATTATAAGCGTCACTATAATAGGCCATGATGAATATTGTTGACCAGATTGACCTAAGGATTGAAATCCATCAATA